GACAATTCAGCAACCTGTTTTTTATTCTTTGATTGTATGTTTCTTTAGCGGAGTCAATAGTAATTTTGCAACTATTTCTGGCTTCTATAAATTCTGTGTGGTTTTGAGCGGTTTGTTGTCGTTTCCAAAGGTTATATGCTCTGTGTTTTTTCTGTACAGCCGTTTGACACTGGCTGTTGAACCAAGGTTTTGCATTAGCTCTACGTTTATTTGTATGTGGGATATATGCATCCATTCCAGATAAGATTACTTGTGTTATTTCATTACAGCAAATAGTGGGATCAGCTGTTTTAAAGCAAACCTCTTGCCATGGAAAATCCAGGTAAAACTGTTTTAGGTCATTCCATTTTGCCGATTTATAGTGCCACATTTTAAGAGGTAGTGGTTGTTGGCTTGGTGGGATGAGCATTTCGCACTTTGTTATTATAAGTTTATGATCGGACGAACCAAGTGGAGCATCTACTTGAATTGTGTACGAGTCAGGATTTGTGGTTAGGAACAAGTCTAAAAGTGCTGCAAATTCGCCCCTTTCTGAGATACGGGTAGGTTCATCGACAAGCTGCGTTAGACCACAACTTATGGCAAAAGCTTCTGCTTCTCTGCCTTCGTTATCTGTTTTGTTGTGGTGTTTCAGCCAGGGTATATTGTGGACGTTGAAATCGTCTAAAAAGATAATTTCCGCCTGTGGATAGTTTGACTGTATACTATCACAGCTTTCGGATAATGTCGCGAAAAAGTTTTGGTACTCGGTGTTAGATGGCGGTCGGTAGAGGCAGCAGATAAACTTGGTCGATGACTTTGAGGTGAATTTTAGCCATATGATATCAAGGTTCGCTGGTTCTAGCTTCTCCTCTCGATGACATGAAAGGTCATTTTTAATGTACACACAGATCCCAAAATTATGTCGAAATCGGTGGTGTAGGTCATAGCCGGGACCTTGCACCAATTTGAAAATTTCTGAAATTCTTGCATGTACTTGCTTTTCGACTTTGTTGGTAATAATTCTGATGTGGCCTCTGCTACTGACTCCATAATCTTTTCTGGTAGGAATCTTGCATTTTCGCTGGATGAATCCATTTTCACGCACAACAATATATTACAGAAATAATTTATTGTTTGTTTGGTTGCTAAGGCCGCAGTTTCTATTGGTAATTTATGCATAGCTGTCTATTATTTTGATTTGGCGGGTGTGTCAAATTTTTACAAACAACCGCCAGTTTTGTTGCTTGTTTGACTTTGAAAGCAGGTGCATCTTTAATTTATTCTAATTTTTTTTAAAAATAATATCTGAATTACATAATTACTCGCGATCGTACATAAAATCTTGTATGTACCACAGGCGCAAATGGTGATTGCGGCCCTTTGCGTGGTTAAAGCCCTCGGCTGCGCCTCGTGCTTTAATTTCCACGCGACGGGCCGCAAACACCTTAATTGCGCCCTTGGTTCATAAATAACTATTTCGCTTCTGTTGCACAATAACTTAGCCCTCCTTTTCACTCTTGTACCTTCAACGCTCATCATCAAATTGCACTGATTTTCCATGAAATCACACAATTTTTATCTCCCGTGTGGGCATAAAGTAAATATTATGGCCCGCGCGGGCATAAAGACGCAAAAAACAGTTTTCAATTAACTTATTCTTTATTAACAAAATATAAATTTACGCTAATAAACATATTATTATTGTCAAAAAATTATGATGTTTGCACACTGATGACAATTTGCGAAGTGACACTTTTTTCCCAGGTATTTATTATTCACAACCTTAGAGCAGGTAAAGCGCTGTCCTACGGACATAAGGAGTAGGAACGCGCCATTCTGCTTGTGAAACTAATGGCGTTTCCGATTGGTAGATCTAGTGCGGAACTAGTGCAATTTTTTTTATTTCTGTCTTTTTCTTCTACAGGTCGATTTAAAGGATGCAAATACACTCAGTGCGCACTGAATCTACCAATCGGAAGCGCCATAAAGTGAAGCTAAGTTTTTGGCAGGTGTTTGGCACCAAAATACAGGTAGAGCATTGAATTGCCATAACCGCCATTTTTTGTGGGCCAAAATACCTGGAAAAAAACGGCTTCATTTTCCAAATCCAGGTTACTACTCCTTTACCTTTACCTGCTCTAAGTTCACAACCAACTGGTATGACATAAAAGTTTGTATGCACCACGGATACTAATAGATATACAGTGTGTTTCAAAAGTCTGGGAACGATCAAATATTTCCAAAGCGGCTTGAAATAGAGTTACGAAATTTTCTGCATATGGGTAATTAATGATGTTTGATTTAATGATGACATCGACAATGTTGCCAAGTTTACCGGTTTTCAGATAATGTAGATCACTTAGTTTTTTTAAATAGGAATACTACTTTATTTTCAGTGCAATAAATTCGGCGCTCTATTGTTATTTAAACCTTTTGATATCATTTTTCTATTGTACACAGTTTCTGAAATATTGCAACACAGCGTTTTTGTTCAAAAGTCTGGGAACGCTCAAATATTCTCAGAGCGGCTTGAAATAGAACTACGAAATTTTCTGCGTATGGCTAATTAATAATGCCCGATTCAATGATGACATCGACAATGTTACCAAGTTAACCGGTTTTCAGATAATGTAGGAAACTTCGTTTTTTTTAAATAGGAATATTACTTTATTTTCATTGCAATAAATTCGGCCCTATTTCACGGTTTCTGTAATGTTGCAACACAGCCTTTTTGTTCAAAAATCTAGGAACGGTCAAATTTTTAAAACTACTAAAAGTAGGATTACATTTTCTGGGGGTCAATTCGAGATTTGAGAAAATATTACCCCAGGAAAATATTTTATCTATCTATCTTAATAATACCGGCAAAAATGTCACTAAAAAAACTGGCTGTCGAGTATAAATTGATATTTCATACAGGGTATATCAGGTTTAACTACAAAAGTTTAAACACTTGAAAATATGGCCCATTTTGAACAAAAAAGGTTTTTACAATATGACGTCCAAACTCAATCACTATTAACAAAAAGATCTTTAAAGTTATGACAATTTTTGACAAATAATTGAAAGATAAAGAAAATTTTAATCATTATGATATCAAAAAAAATAATAACTCATTCAAGTATCAAGTAATAATGCATTTTTAGTCAATAACAATAATAAAAAATTGGAAAAACATGACACGTTCACCCGTAATTCGGTATCTAAACATTTGGCAACATAGCACAAAAAAGAATAGGTGGTTGAAAATAAAATGTTCAGAAACGTCGAATATGCAGATACTTGTAAGGCAGAATCGTTGCAAAATACTCATTTAGCCGCCAGAATTTACAGGAAAAGATTTCCCAATAGAAGGGCACCCACCTGATGAAAGAAAATTGTGCCCGTTTCACAAAGATTGCGTGATATGGGAAGTGTGAGTGTGTAAATTTTTTTCTCTTGAATGTTCAGTGCAAAAATGTCATTGAGTGCAATTCACAACTTAATAAAACAACATATGAATAAAAAGTCAGTGTTGCCTGCTAGATGAAATCGGGAGGTTTCTCTTACAATAGAGTACCAAAATTGCATTAAAAATAAGGTGGTATTTCTATTAAAAAAAAAAAAAACGAAATTACCTACATTATCTGAAAACCTGTAAACTTGGCAACATTCTCGATGTCATCATTGAATCGGACATCATTAATTACCCACAAGCAGAACATTTCGTTGATCTATTTCAAGCCGCTATGGAAATATTCGACCGTTCCCAGACTTTTAAACAAAAAGGCTGTGTTCCAATATTTCAGAAACCGTTTGAGATAGGGACATGATATCAACAGGTTTCAATAATAATAGGGCGCCGAATTTATTGCAATGAAAATAAAGTGGTATTCCTATTTAAAAAAGTGAAGTTACCTACATTATCTGGAAGCCGGTAAACTTGGCAACATTGTCGATGTCATCATTAAATCGGGCATCATTAATTACCTACATGCAGAAAATGTCGTAACTCTATTTCAAACCGCTCTGGAAATATTTGACCGTTCCCAGACTTTCGAAACACACTGTATATATATACCCTCGGGCGACTTACGAACCCTCGGGCCAGAGGCCCTCGGCTTTGTAAGACTGTCGCCCTCAGGGCATAATCATCTACTTTGTACCCTTACACACATAATAACTATGTATAATTCACAAATAGGTTGAGAATGCCATGAAATATTTTATAATGTACCTTTTGAAATTCTTAAAATTAAAATTGTATTCGGATAACATTTATGCTCAATTAATTTTTTAGTTTACTGAAAGGAAATATATTTCTGTCGATATAATGAAGAATGTCTCCTCACGGTTAACTTTCGTTCCCTGGCAACAACTAGCAACTAGGTGAAATAAAATATTGCCCTTTTCTATCTATTTTCGAAACAGTCCATTACCTCAGCTAGGACTTACCTTCCTAATTATTAAATACGTCTAAACCAAACGTTTCAATGATTCTATCAACCTAATCATGGATTGATAAAGTTTTCCCCACAAAAATTAAATGTACCACTTTGGTACAAATTTCATTTCCAAATAACATGAGCATCCTTTGCAATACTTGATACGTAAGTTTCACTATGGAGATTTATGATACAAATGAAATTTTGGATAGAATATTACAGCTGGTCTTCAACTATAGATTCATTGAATCCCTTACGCCGATTTTGCGCGAAATCAGCCCGAGATTATTATTTATTGCAGCCCGTCTGACGCGGAATTAATGAGCGGGAAGCCCGCGTCTCGGGATCTGAAATATAATTCTTTAATCAGCACAAAGCCACTTTTATTATTTTGCGCAATTTATTACGCTTTGCATCCGTTTAAAGCTGACAGAAATAAAATGAACTAAACAGCAATAATTATTAGTTGTCTGAAAACTACGAATCCCTAAAAAGTAAAGTTTGAAGTATACATCGCAAACCTGTATCAAAAAGCAGTTTTTAAGTGGCCATCCGTTTTCTTAATGCTGTCTAACCGTCGAATTTACTTTCCAGATCGTCCAAAAGTGATTAGCGTTGGACGAGAACGCGTCAAAACCTCCACCCTATTCGCCCCTGTCACTTTCGAATGTCTGGGCGAAGGCAACCCACCGCCGACCTACCAGTGGATCCAGACAAAAACGTCGCAACAATCGGATAGCGTCGTCGAGCGCGGCAGAGGGGCCAAGCTACACATCAGAAACGTCACTTACGTGTATCAAGGAGAATGGAAGTGCAAGGTTACGAATGTTATTAAAGGAGAGGAACAGAGTGATATCAGTGAGCCTATTATACTTCAAGTATATGGTAAGTGTGATTTGATTTTCAGAGATACGAGTTTAGAATAGGGCAGTCTTTATAGAGGCCATTGTCTCGCCCCAAAGGATATAATATATTGTCGATGTAGTAGGTGAAAAACATTCTGTAGTCCGGTGTATGCATATTAAACTGGGCCTAGACTCAGTGGCGTAACTACAGGGGGGCCTAGGGGGCCAGGCCCCCCCCCAGACGTCGCTAGGCCCCCCCCCACCCAGAAAAAACTTTAATAATTTGGTATTTTATGAAAGCTACGTTACCTATTATAATTTTATATTATTACGTTATTACCTACTAAATTTGAACGGTCATGCGCGGCGATCCCGATCGACCCTATCCGATCCTCCGATCCACCAACGAACGGTGCTGTGTGCCATTGTGCCACGTGCCACCCCAAGGTCAGTGCAAATTGCAATGTGCAGAAGTGATACAGTATACCAAAGCTATTAAATTAGCATTAGCAATAAGTATAATATAACAGAGATTAGTTTGTGAGTTTGACTAAATATTTTTCCTGTGAATCCGTGAATTAGTGTTGCTGATATTATACTATACAGTGGCTGATAAGCTGGGTTAGCTAGGTAAGTGATTTAAGCCCGCTTTAGCCAGCTAATTGTCTATAATGCACTGTTCTACTTTTTCAAAGATTCCAATGAGTCACATTAACACTGGCGCCAACTATATCGAGGCACTGGGGTAAATGCACCCATGAGCAACCTCTCGTGGATACTCGGAGCTCTCGTGGGGAATGCCGAAGTACAAACGTATTTAATGGTCATTTCGTTGCGTGTGGTACCTAGTATCAGTTTCATGTAATTTAAATTTACACAACTTTGTATAAGAATTATTCAAGTGGTATTAGCCTTAGATTAGAGAGGTATTAGGGAGTTTTTAAACCCATTATTTTACGTACGCTTATTAACGTTATCGGTTATTGTGCAATGCGCAGTGTAGCATTCCGTAAATAAAGATTGTTGAAAGAAAGTACTTTTTAAGCCTTCTAAATAAGCCTGCGTAAATAACGTATCCCTTCACTCACTATTTTATTTACTTTTGAAAGTAGAGGTTATGTTATGGTCTTAGTCTTATGGTCATTGTTTTTTTTACTTGATAATAAAAATAATAATGGATAATATTCTACATAATATCACAGTTTATATAATATTATTCATCGCGGAAATCCTTATGGAATCGATCACAATTTAATCAGTGGCATAATATTTGATAATCCTCAGGAATAGGAAGGAGAAGATTTCCCTCTGCACTACGACCAGCCTTTAATTAAGAAGATATGGAGGCTAGAAGAGCAAAAGTTAACTGTAGATTCTGTAAGGAGCACATACCCAGGCTATGCCGAACTTTACGCATACTTTAGCAAATCATCACACAATCTTGACAATCTGGATATCAATACACAGAGGATCCGCCATAATGCCAAATTGTTCTATTTATCACTAGATTTGTCAACTATTTTGATTTAAAAAGGTTAAAAAAATTCTCATCAACGTGAATTAACACCCATCGAAACATATGTTTGTAGAATTACTGTTTTAATTTTATTTATACTAAATATGAACATAGAAATATAATTGGCGGCAACCTTTCACAATTTATCTCCGGTTATTAAACGAACGTAATAGGCCCGCAACTAACGTGAAACGTTATCGCTTAATAGCGTGTCCGTCATGTTATCTTTTCGCTACTGCGCATGTGCACGATAACCGATAACGTGAATTGTACGTTAAATAAGGGGCTTAAAATCTCCCTATTAGTATTCTGTCATTTCGTTATTTGTGGTCAATTCTATGCTCTATTACTTTATATTGCTAATCTAATGTTGCTATTCTCCATCTCTATTCTTTGATAATAATCGGGACATGAGGCATTTAGGACATAAAAGTACTAGGATAAATGTGTGTGGTTACATTGCATAATTATTTTACTTTTCCGCAATAGTGCGGTATTTCATGGCCTAAAATGCGTGCAGGAAAAAGCACTTTTCGCACGCTCGTAGAGATGAATAAAAAAATACAGGGTTTCCCACGAGGTTTTTCCCAGATGATAACTTCGGGACGCATCATCGTATGTTCCACTGTATAATTTATTATCATTTTCTTTAACAAAGCCTTAACAAATATGGCATTGCCGATTTTGTAATTTAATTTTCTAACGAAAAATGCCATAATATACCATGTGTTACACTCAAAATTCGAAAGTTGATGTCACTTGACCGAAATTGAAGCGAAAGTTGTAGAATTGGATGGCAATGGTAGAAGCGGCATAATAAATTACCTAGATCCTCAAAATTTCACTTATATTGGATGACGCGTTCTGAAGTTATTACCTGGGATAAACGTCGTGGGACACCCTGTATATACACTATGAAAAAGACGTTTTTAGGCGTGGCATCCGAAAAAAATGTTTCGCCTACGGCGAGCTTCCCCCTCACCCTATAAACAAATTTATAAAAATATTATCCTGCACCTATGAGGACTTTCAAAAATCGGGGCCTCTGCCAGGCCCCCCCCCAGGTCAGCTGGCTAGTTACGCCAGTGCCTAGACTCTAACTAGAAATCAAGGTGGGTGCTTCACAGGAGCATATCTGAGGTGTTTCCTGCACCGCTTCCTCTAACGTGGTTCCTGTGTAAATCCAGTTGGAGCAAGCAGCAATACAATTTGTATTAGTTTGAGTCAGTCCACCGTCATCTGATTTCAGTGATTTCAGTTACAGCCAAAGCAACAATGGGTCTGAAAGGGTAATCAAAATAAAGCCCAGAAATATTTTTTTCGGATTTTTTTGGTAGCGGGAAAGGCCTTAAATTTTTAATTGAAATTCAAAATTCTTAGGATGGTGACGACACGCGCCTAGATTTTCTATTGGCTGCTTTCTTCAAGTGTTGCCATGCGGTTGCTGATTTCACGAAATTTCTCTACGAATTGTGTTCTCAACTCTCAAGAATTCGATATCGATAACCCATCGATCTCGCTCGATTCTCTATGAATTTAACCTTATTTTTGAAATGTAAACAAAGTGTAATTTTATTTTATTTATTTAAAAATATATACCTAGCTGGAATGTACCTAATTAACTAAAATTCTGCCATTTCCTAGAGCCCATTTACCTGAATTTTCGGTTTTTATTGGGGCGTCTCCTATAATTCTGTGCTAAACACAAAATGTAGCAATTTCGAATTTGCTTGGCCCTGAGAAAATAACAACATAAGTATACCATACCATTTAATTTTGTTTAAGAGTTTATTAAAATTGATAATGCTTCCAGGTTTATAGGTACAATATACATTACAAATGAAATATACATATAGCTAGGTATCAATTTATATAATAATATGTACAGAAATCACCTACTTAATCCTACTTAAGTACTTCAATGATAATATGATACAATTAACTTTCAATTTATTGATTTACAGAAACTTCATTTTCAAAGTTTCAACAACAATAATAAAATATGTATAACAATATAGTAGTAACAAAATTATCACATAAAATATCCCTATTCTAGTTACATAATTCTAGAAATGTGTTTTTAAAACTGACAAAATTCAAATGAATCTAGATCATATTCATTGTATGAAAGTACCTACACATACATACAAGTGAGATTTTCGTTTTTCGGGCCCAATGGAGTTCTCTGTCAACACAACACAATCTTTACCCTATATTCTCAGCTCACAATGCTATTATTTGCTTCATCAGCTGTGACTCCTTCCTATTTGCTCTTATGTACTTTTGTGTTCTGGGGTTCTTCTACAGTTCTACACTGAACAGTAGGTACAATGTTGGCTTTCTCTTTTTAGTCTTCATTTGTATCATTGTATACCAGAGCCTGTTTATACAATGGTTGTACATAACTAAACAGTATTGACTATTTTCTGTTTTTGCTTTTGCTAATCTAAAAACCAAAATAAACCTTAGTAGAAGTAGGTAGGAACCTACTTTGGACAATATAGTTCTGTTGGTGAAAAATAACACAAAATAAATCTCACCTTTCCAATTTCGAATCTATGTTCCACAACTTTCAATTTTAACCTTGATTTTAACACAACAACAGTTTTCACTCTTTGAAAATGTTTTATTTACAAAAGGTACCCTTACCCTTTTAGGTTAGAATTCATTTGTCAAATAAATAGACTGGAATTGGAATAGAAATCGATAAACCGCATTTATATCGATATATTTTTTTCCTTTTCTATCTCGTTCATTCAACTAGAAAGAAAACATGTCGATAGGGAACAGCTTCGGCCGGTAAATCGGGCAACTAAGCGTGTTCTGATTGGTGCAAAATCTGGCGGACTCTTTCAAACATTACCATTTTTTTTCCTTTAATATCTCTCACAATATTTTTTTTTTAAATCAACCACATAGCATTTTAAGTATTTTATCGGATAAGCTTCCAAACCATATGAATGAAATACTTAAATTCAGTTGAGTGGGAAAGACCCATTGCGAAAATAGAAATATTGTTCATTGTGCAAAATGTCTGTTTATCAGCTAGTAAGCCGACGATCATAAATTCCATACTGTAATAATATGTATATTTCTTTTGGTAAAGCACCAGTCCCCTACTTCAACTTAGTCCATTATCATAGGGTCCGCTCGCTTCGATCTCGTGCTAAGTTTATTAAAAATGCATTATTTTATGAAAATATGGGACTACTTGATTACCGAATGGTATGTTGGCATTTTTGTAAATATTTTTTTTCCGAAAAACAGCTACTTCAAAATCACAGATAGAACAATTTTTCAAAAAATTCGTATCTCCGTTATTAATTGATCAATTTCTTATTTCAAAAAAATGGATTACTTGGAAAAGTCTATATTTTAATAGAAAAAATGTTTTTACTACAAATATACAATATTAAAAGAAAATTTCCACAAAAATTTTAAAAAAACATATGCTTTTTTTTTAAATTATTATTTTTTAACCATCTTTCTTTCTATAATTATAGATATATGCTGTGCCAACGGTG